GGGCAAAGGAAGGGGGAAGGCCAGAGAGGAGAACGGGGGAGCACAGCACCATTGCCTGCCCGTGTCTCCTGTCTCCTCTGCAACACATCCCCACCCGCATCCACGGCAAGTGTCTGGCCAGAGCTGGTACCACCGCGGGCAGGACCACAGAGGGAAACGGGGGTGGCAGAACCCTGCCGGCTCCTCGGGAGAGGCGAGGAGCAGGGACACGATCCCTGCAGGCTGCGCAAGGCAGAGCATCCGGCCTGGGGCAGGGATGCGAGGCTGGAGCCTTGCGCAGGCTTAGGATACCCTCTGCAGGCGGGCGCTGGGCTCCGCACGTCCTGAACTGCGGAATCATGGAACGGGTTGGGATGAAGGGACCTTAAAGCTCCTCCAGCTCCAACCCCTGCCTCGGGCAGGGACCCCTTCCATAGAGCAGCTTGCTCCAAGCCCTGTGTCCAACCTGGCCTTGAGCACTGCCAGGGATGGGGCAGCCACAGCTTCTCTGGGCACCCTGTGCCAGCGCCTCAGCACCCTCACAGGGAAGAGCTTCTGCCTAAGAGCTCAGCTCAGTCTCCCCTCGGGCAGGTCCAAGCCATTCCCCTTGCAGGGCTTTGGGCCAGAGGATGAACTGGAGCCACAGGAACCAAGTTCTGTCCGGGGGGGCTGCATGCTCGGGAGCTGTCTGGGACAACATCTGCCAGAGATCCCTTCCTAACCCCCCTGTGGCAAGAACCCTGCAGAGAGCTGAAGCTCTGCACCGTGCCTCGTCCCATGGGTGCTTTTGGTGGGCAACTGTCCCCTGTTCCCATGTGCTCTGTCCCAGCCTGAGGGCTCTCCAGGCCCCACCTCCCAGGTCAGGCTGAACCGGGGGAGCAGGCAGTTTTGGGGTGCCAGGGTGTCCATAGGGACTGCAGTGACAGGACAAGGGGTGATGGGTTCAGACAAACAGGGGAAGCTTAGGTTGGAGATAAGGCAGAAGTTTTCCCTTGTGAGGGTGCTGAGGCACTGGAATGGGTTGCCCAAGGAGGTTGCAAATGCTCCATCCCTGGCAGTGTTCAAGGCCAGGTTGGACAGAGCCTTGGGTGCCATGGTTTAGTGTGAGGTGTCCTTGCCCATGGCAGGGGCTTGGAACTGGATGATCTTAAGGTCCTTTCCAACCCAAACTATTCTACGATGTGCCCCCATCTGACTGTTTAGCAGCAGCATCTACAGGACACACACCTGAGCTGATGGACCAAATGCAGCCCCAGCACCAAATCACTGCCTCATTCATCTCAATAGTCACTGAGAGACATTTAAAAGTCACTACAACTATTTGTTCCCTGGAAAACAGCTTTTCCATCAACTGGCCCTTTGTGGGGCCACAATGGTGAGGATCAATGCACTGACATCCTCCTATCCATTCAACAGCTGAACTAAAGACAGAAGTGTGGGTGAGACAGCAAGGAGATGATAACCCCTAGCAAGCCCCTGGCACCCATTTAGAGGCTGGTTTTTGGGCATGGACCTCTCCTTCCTCTCTCCATCCACAGCTCTTGCAAGGAGGCCCACAGCTCTCCTTATATCCAGCCTAAACCTACCCTCTGGATACAGTGAAAGAGGTGAAGCCCCTGTCTCTGCAGCCACCCTGATGTGAGGGTGGCTGAGATCCTTCATCAGAGAGGGGCCGGGCACTGAAATGCGGTGCAAAGACAGATGGGTTTAGTGCCCCAGTAAAGAGACGGGAAGCAGAAGAGATTTCCATAGCAACCAGTGCAGAGGCTCTGCCTCCTCTGGTGTTCTCTGGTTCCCCTCCCTGCACACAGCTAATCCAGGGCTGCCGCTGCGGCCACGGACCCCACTTTAGAGGAGGTTTGGTGAGTGCGTGATGGAGCCGAGCAGTCAGGAATGCCCTGCACGGCCACAGAAAGCACCGGGTTCCTCTGGAGGAGGATTCTGAACCTGAGGCTGCCTTTAAAATGCCCCCCAATCGGTTCTTTGAGGTGATTCAAGCTCTCGAATGTAGAAACCTGCAATGCCAAAGCCCGGGTACGAGGGCCATCAGGGTGGCATCCAGCCCAAGCACTACTAAAACCCGTGTGCCAGGCAATGCACAGAACAGAAGAGCAGTGCTTGACTTTAGGTGACGCCAGCCACAGCCTTGATGCACGTCTGGTGCTCCCATGGGAAATGAATGAAACACGAAGTCACCCTGGCCAAGCTGAGGGCTAAGGAAGAAGTTCTTGCATGCCATGAACCTGTAGAAGACAGTGTCCTGGGGGAGTTGCTGATGGGGAGCACAGGGAAGCAGAGGGGCAATGGGAGGTGTCAAAGCATGACCGTGGCTGGGGCAGCACCATGAGGAGAAACCTGTCCTCTGAGCAGGGCTAGCATTGGAGGTTTCTTCCTCTGCTTGCTGTAGAGGTTTGTAATGGCAACATGGAATCATGGAATGGTTTGGGCTGAAGGGATCTTAAAGCTCCTCCAGTTCCAACCCCTGCCACGGGCAGGGACCCCTTCCATAGAGCAGCTTGCTCCAAGCCCCTGTGTCCAACCTGGCCTTGAACACTGCCAGGGATGGGGCAGCCACAGCTTCTCTGGGCACCCTGTGCCAGCGCCTCAGCACCCTCCCAGGGAAGAGCTTCTGCCTAAGAGCTCAGCTCAGTCTCCCCTCAGGCAGGTTAAAGCCATTCCCCTTGGCCTGGCCCTACAGGCCCTTGTCCCAAGCCCCTCTGCAGCTTTCCTGCAGCCCCTTCAGGCACTGGAGCTGCTCTCAGGTCTCCCCTTCAGGAGCCTTCTCCAGGCTGCCCCAGCCCAGCTCTCTCAGCCTGGCTCCAGAGCAGAGCTGCTCCAGCCCTCGCAGCAGCTCCATGGCCTCCTCTGGCCTCGCTCCAACAGCTCCACGTCCCTCTTGTGCTGCTGCCCCAGAGCTGTTTCTGTCCATCAGCCCTGTTAAGAAGCCATTGGACCCACAAGTCCTCCTTAGCCCATGCTAAGAACGCAGGCTAAGTATCTTCAGGAGCTGCACTTCCACCTCTGGAGCTGTGCGAGCCCTTGCAGCTGCAGGGACCTCACTGCTGTTCAGCGTTTGGAGCTTTAGAGATGCAAAGTTGGTTATTTCTCATTAACCGCATTGAACCCAGCACCCCCCCGAGGCTTCCCACAAGGCACAGTCATTCCTGAAGGAAGCCTCCTTGGCCTGCAGCATTGAGCAATCGGCAAACAAGGAGCAGGGCTTGCAGAACACACCGAGGGTTTAAGGAACAGCTTCTATTGATAGGGAAAGGCTTTGAATTCCTTCCCTCCTGGGAGGTGCCGCTTCCTATGGAGGTAGCCTCGGAGGAAGAGGTGCAAAATCCCCTTTAAGCACCCCCTTTTTGGGGTACAAAAGGGAGGGTTTGGAAAGAGGTTGCAAAACAGAGCTGGTGTAGAGGGGCTGAGCATCCAGAGCAGGGAAAAGGAGGCAGCAAAGAGCCAGGCTTCGGAGATGAGCCAGACAGTGAAGCATGGGCATGGGATGCTGGCTGTGGTGAGCTCAGCGCACAGTGAACCCCAGCTTCATCCCCATGGAGCCATCGGCAGGCTCAGGAGCACATCCCTGGGGTCTGTTTTGTGCTGGCTGCCCTTTTCCCCTTCCTCCTCCAGGCAGGGTTTGCAGAGGGACACTCTTCCAGGAGGGAAGGGATGAGGAGAGGGGCTGCGGCATCCAAAGGCACGTGTTTTCCTGGGGAAAAAGGGGGTTTTCCTTCCCCCCCACCCAGGGAATGGGGTCCCCAATGGACCCTGGAGCAGGGGGGTGGTCAAAGGAGGCTGTGATCCCATGGGAAGCCTGTGCTGGAGCAGGCTCCTGTGGTCCCTTGGACAGAGGAGCAGGCACTGGAGCGAGTTTGCTGCAGGACTTGCAGGTCCGCTGAGCCCATGGTGAAGCCACGGCTCCTGAGGGATGCAGCCGATGGAAGGGACCGGCACTGGAGCTGCTCACAAAGAGCTGCAGCCCATGGGAAAGACCCACGTTGGAGAAGCCCATGGGGGGAACCCCATGATGGAGCAGAGGAAGAGTGCGGGGATCCTCACCTGAGGAGGAAGGAGCAGCAGAGACAAGGTGGGAGGAACATCCCTGGGCAACCCATTCCAGTGCCTCAGCACCCTCACAAGGGAGAACTTCTGCCTTATCTCCAACCTAAGCTTCCCCTGTTTGTCTGAACCCATCACCCCTTGTCCTGTCACCGCAGTCCCTATGGACACCCTGGCACCCCAAAACTGCCTGCTCCCCTGGATCAGCCTGACCTGGGAGGTGGGGCCTGGAGAGCCCTCAGGCTGGGACAGAGCACATGGGAACAGGGGACAGTTGCCCACCAAAAGCACCCATGGGACAAGGCACGGTGCAGAGCTTCAGCTCTCTGCAGGGTTCTTGCCACAGGGGGGTTAGGAAGGGATCTCTGGCAGATGTTGTCCCAAACAGCTCCCGAGCATGCAGTCCCCCCGGACAGAACTTGGTTCCTGTGGCTCCAGTTCATCCTCTGGCCCAAAGCCCTGCAAGGGGAATGGCTTGGACCTGCCCGAGGGGAGACTGAGCTGAGCTCTTAGGCAGAAGCTCTTCCCTGGGAGGGTGCTGAGGCGCTGGCACAGGGTGCCCAGAGAAGCTGTGGCTGCCCCATCCCTGGCAGTGTTCAAGGCCAGGTTGGACACAGGGGCTTGGAGCAAGCTGCTCTATGGAAGGGGTCCCTGCCCGTGGCAGGGGTTGGAGCTGGAGGAGCTTTAAGGTCCCTTCACCCCAAACCGCGAGCAGCGCTCTGCAATGAACACCAACCTCCCCCAGCGCCCAGCGCCACCCGCTGCGACGGCAGCGAGTCGGCGGCTCCTCCTTATATACGGTACCTCATGAATATTAACTAGGCAGGCGTGGTTAACGCGAGGCGGACGCCGTGCTGTGCGCCGGGCTCTCATTACTATGAACCAGGGGGCGTGGCCCCCTCATGAATTATGTGCAGTAGGCGGGGCCTCGCCCCTCAGCGCTCTGTCCCTTCCAGGAGTGAGAAGATGGCGGCGGCGGCGGCGCCCGGCGGACGGGCCGCGGTAGCGGCGCGACGGGGCCGGCGGCGGCGGGGGGCCCGGCCCGGGGTGGTGTCGGAGGAGGAGGAGGAGGAGGAGGCGAAGGAGAAGGAGGAGGCGCTGCTGGCGGTGTCGGAGTGCCCGGGCTGCCGGCAGGCGCTGGTGGAGGCGGTGACGCCGCCCTGCCGCCACTCGTTGTGCCCCGCTTGCTTCCAGCGCTGCCTGCAGGGCCCGGGCCTGTGCTGCCCGCTCTGCCGCAGCCGCCTCTCCACATGGGCCCGCGCCGAGCCCGCCGCCACCACGGCTGCCGGAGGAGGAGGAGGAGGAGGCGGGGAGCAGCGGCAGGAGCAAGGTGCGGGTTCAGCCCCGACGGGGTGCAGGGAGTTTGTGGGGCTCAGCCCCGTCCTGCGGTGGTGATTATGGGGGGGGGGGGGGGGGGGAACAGCGGGTCTGAGCCCGCCCTCCTGTGCCATGGTGGGAGATGGGCCCTGAGGGGAGGAGGGGGTCGTGTTCCCCCCAAATCAACATCTCTGCACCCCGGCAGTGATGGGGAGCAGGATGGTGACCCCCTCATAGAGCGCCGTGGGCACGGTGGGATGGGAGGTGTGAAGAGTGGGTGGGAGCAGGGTGCTGGCAGCGTCTCGCCCCGTGCTCATCCGTGGGGATGGTTTGGGCTCTCCAAGCGGTTGCTTGAACCCAGAAATGGCAAAGCGGTGGTTATTTGTGTAACAACGCGGACCGAAAAGTGAGGGCTTGCGAGGGTGCTGCCCATTGGGAGGGCTGGCGTTGGGGTGGGTTTGTGTTGGAGAAAGGCTCCTGCGCCGTGGGAAGTCCCGGTTCCTTGTTGACATAGCGATCCCATCGTTTCTGAGTTCAGGGCTTTCTGGCACGCGCCTCAAGAGCCTTCGGCCCTCCTCTGCTCCGTGTGTTTCCTTGGGAATAACTGCCTCTTTTCAGCCCGAGGCGTTGCTCTTTCCCCATGGCGCTGCGGAAGATTCCCACCTTGCTGCTGTCCAAACTCCCGGCACGCCGGGATCTGCTGCCCGTGCGTGTTGCTTGGAGAGGTGCCTGCACGAGTGCTTCACGGTAGCAGCACTGGTGGGAGCCCTATGGAGCAGCCGAGGCTTTCAGCTATGGATAAACATCCTTTTGCCATGCCCTAACCGGGCGGTTTCCAACGTGTTACCGGTCTCCTTGGTCATGCTTGTGTCTGCACCCTCTAATTTCCTGCGGGCAAAATGAGCAGGATGAGCCTCAAGGGCTTCAAGTGGGCGTTTGGGCTAAGCCCGTTCACCTGGAAGGGAACTGGGAAGCTTTACATGGAGGAGGGTTTGCTGAATCAAGGAATGGATGGGGCTGTGCGGAGGGAGCTGAGCCAGGAGCCTGGGAGCAGCTCCTCTTTGGGAGTATTTAGTTCCTCCTTGGGAGCGCTTCCTCCTTCCTGGCCCAGCCAGAGGAGGGACCACAGGAACTCCCTGGGTCCGTCTCTGCTCCGGAGCAATGGTGTCGGTCATGCTTAAGTATTCCCAGCTTGGTCTGACCTGGCAGGGGGGGATATCCAGCTGTGCCACAGGGAGCCTTGTGCAGTGCTTTGGTTGTTAGGAGGGAATAGTTTTAATTCTCTGCTTGAATGGATTGTCTGACATGGGAATGTTTTGCACATCTTAGGGTGCTGAGGCACTGGCACAGGGTGCCCAGAGAAGCTGTGGCTGCCCCATCCCTGGCAGTGTTCAAGGCCAGGTTGGACACAGGGGCTTGGAGCAAGCTGCTCTAGTGGAAGGGGTCCCTGCCCGTGGCAGGGGTTGGGACTGGAGGAGCTTGAAGGTCCCTTCCAACCCAAACCAGCCTGGGATTCTATGCAGGAAGGCACATGGTCATTGTGTTGATTGTCATTTTCTGCCTGCCTGGACTTCCTAACGCTATGGGATGTCTTGGAGAGCATCGTGGAGGGTCTTAGTGCTGAGAATCATAGAGTCATAGAACAGCTAGGGTTGGAAAGGACCTTAAGATCATCCAGTTCCAACCCCCCTGCCATAGGCAGGGACACCTCACACTAAACCATGTCATCCAAGGCTCTATCCAGCCTGGCCTTGAACACTGCCAGGGATGGAGCATTCACAGCTTCCTTGAGCAACCCATTCCAGTGCCTCAGCACCCTCACAGTAAACAATTTCTTCCTTATGTCCAATCTAAACTTCCCCTGTTTAAGTTTTAACCCATTACCCCTTGTGTCACCTTCTGCGCCTTGAGTGTCATGGGCTCTGAATTGGGCTGGAGTAACCCCTACTCATGCTGTACTCCACGTCTCATGCCATAGACCTTGCCACCATAAAATTACACTTCAAGCTGCAGGGCCATTGAGTTCATAGCTGATGAAGTGAGATAAAAGGAGCTCAAACAGCAGTTCTGATGCATTTCTAGCCTAGGCTCAACCTTGTCCTTAAGTGGCACCAGGTGTCTGCGTCGGGCTAAAAGCTGTAAAGGTAACTGGCCACTTATGATGTAAGTTGGGCCAATAGTGTGGAAATCAAAGGTAGTTGATGTGTTACAAATGGTAGGACCTACTACATGTAGAGAGTGAGCAGTGTATGTGGTTTGACTTGATGTCGGGGATTGATGTTATCAGATCTTGATGTTACTGAACCTCCCCATGGCTGAGGTTGGCAGGGACCTCTGTTGACCCAACCTCTGCTCAAAGCAGGGTCATCAGGAGCAGGTTACCCAGGACTATGTCCAGCTGGGTTTTGATTGTCTCCAATCAAGGCTGGAGACTCTTATCTCCTCCTTGGGCAACCTGTACTGGGGTTTGACCACCCTGGCAGTTAAAAAGTGGTTTCTGCTGCTAAATGGAGCTCCTTGTGTTTCAGTTTGTGCCTATTTCTTCTTGTCCTGTCACTGGGCACCACTGCTGCTCTGTAAGGGAGTAGGTGGCCCATAGGTCCCACGTCCTCTCTGCTTGCTCCATGGGCATCTCTGTACCATATAGCACGTGGAAAGGCACCTTACGTGCTGGTATAAAACCAGATCTTGAGTTCAAGATGTAATGCTTTGCTAAGGAAGGTTTCTGATATTCAAAAAGTTGCCTGGTGGAAGTCTTGGAAGGCAGATAAGTGCAGCAGATGGAGGCGTGGAGACCAGCTAGCCAAGAAGAAGGAACAGAATATGTTCACAGCGAGGTGCTCAGCCTGATTTGGAAGGAAATGAATACGTGCACATTTCTCCCAAGGCAGATGGAATTCCTTGCGAATCAGGGCTAAAGAAGAGCACCTTGAGCAAAAGGACAAGCAGATGAGGTCTGTATCTTCTCAGCAGGCACAAGGCCTACCTTCAGTATCAGATCCTCCCCACACTGATAGATTTCTGCCTGTCAATCCTGCCATTGCCATCCCAGATTATAGATGACTTCAGGGAGGCTGGAAGATTCCTGAAGAACAAACATTTCCCCTACAAACTGGGAAACAAATCCAGTTTTCCAAGGAAAAGGCTTGTTAAGTTGATCAAGAAGTTTAAACTCCCAACAGGAAAGTGCTCTGGGAGGAAAGGCATAAAACCGGTTTATGGAATAGACCCGCACGTGTTTTGGAAAGGATCAGGGCTCCCTTACACTGAGTTAGGATCAAGTGGAGCTCAGCCATTCCTCATAGGCATCCAAATCCATTCATACAGACAGCAGAAAGGGACCCCACATTCGCCTTTGTTCCAGCCTCTGAATCCTTGGAAAATTTTGCTTAATATCTAATCAGAATCTTCTCTGTCAAAAGGCAGTTGATTCCTTTTGTCTCTCTGCTGCCTGGTCATGATGCACAGTTAATAACTGATGCTCTTGGGAGAGAGATGGGGTCTAACACAACTTCCCCCTCCTTCCTCCGAGGCTTTTTTTGGCTGTGGTTTCCCTCTTTCCCCACTGGCCCAAACCAGTCCCAGTTACTGAGCATTTCCTGGGGATTCCTTCATTTCCTCTCATTCCTGTTGCCCCGTCACCCATTCTTTTTGCCTCCGGACCACAGTGCTATGAGGTTAGAAGTGGCAATCCCAAGGAAGCCTTTCCCTGCTGTGTGAAAAGCAGGAATTTATTTCCTACATCAGTCTGATTAAAGCCATCACTGCCACTATTTTAGCTCCTTGCTGCAGCATTGGTGGTATAGAGCTGTTTGATGGGAAGGAAATAAGGTAGGGATGCTTCTTCAGGAGCAGTAAGAATCATGCCATAAGACTATCAGAGTCCTTTCACCTCCATCTTCTCCCTCTCCATCCTCTCTCCACTCATCCACAGTACTTAAAGTATTTCTCCTCTGCCATTCAAGCCCTTAATGAAGAGAGAGATTAGGCCCAGACCCAGAACTAGCCCCAGTGGCCACTCTTGAGAGGCTGTCCTGGCATGGCACTGGGCTATAAACTCTTGGAAGGTCATTCTCCAGCTAGTTGTGCATCCATTTGAGCGGTGGTTATACCTAAACTAGCAATTTGTTTCTCACTGCTTCCAAGAATGGGTTCTTTGATGTGTTTCCAAATGGAAAAGACGCAGTATTTTTTGCCTACTGTTGTTCAGGATGCTGAGGAGGGGGTTATCCTGGTTATCCTGGAAAACAGGGATACATCCTGTCCTTTCCAACACTATGATATCTCTGATATGGGAGCTACAGTGTGAGCTGGGAATCAGCATGCAAGGAAACCTCATGGAATGAGCCTGCATCTGCCGGACTTTGAGCTCCATCTAGGACCAGTCCTGCTGTCCCAGGCTGGCAGTTCTGCAGGGCTGCATGCGTGGCTCTGACAGCGCCAGGAGAACATTCCAGCTTCTGTGGTTGTGCAGTGCTGTGCCTGAGCTCGAATGGGCTCCATGGGCCCAAAGGTGTTGGCACTAAACCATATCGAGCAGAATCTCGTCACTTGTCCTCATGGGGTTAAGAGCTGTTGCTCCTTACAGCCTCTCTATCTGGGACTTTGAGCTTCTTCCCTCCAGTGCCTTCATACCACACTCTGCCTCCCCAGCCAGCTCTTCTCCTTCTCCACACAGGCAAAAAGGCAGGATTTTGAGTTCATAGAATCCCACACTGGTTTGGGATGAAGGGACCTTAAAGCTTCATCCAGTTCCAACCCCCTGCCACAGGCAGGGACACCTTCCACTAGAGCAGCTTGCTCCAAGCCCTGTCCAGCCTGGCCTTGGACCCCATCCAGCCTGGCCTTGGCAGTGATTCCTTTATAGTGGTTCCTACTCTTTCTACTCTCATATTTTCTTGCTTTATTTCCTTACTCATTTCTCTCCAGAGCAGGTTTTAGGCAGTGCAGAGCAGTTTCTGCATGGGTTGCTCCCAGGTACGTGGGTGACCCCTAACACAGCACATCCTGCTG